GTAGGCTGGTACTGTACCCTGCAAAGTGACGGTGACATTGTGTCCCATGACTGACAACTGTGTTCAGAAGTTTTAGCTATCTTCGGGTCAAATCATTATGTCAAAGTTGGAGGAAGGTGTGTTACACACAAAACCAGTCGATGTTTAATGACTCGGTTGAACTGCAATTTTCAGCAATGTGCTAATTATCACTAGTGAGAAATATCACATCAAATGTTGCATTTTTCACCTCTATATTATTTATCAATACAGATAAAAGAACAGCCTACAAACAGTAGATCCTGTACTTCGAGCCGTTTCAGAAATGTGCTAAAATGCTGTATCAAATGCAAGGATTATTATTTATTATTATGATATCTTTTTCACATGACATATTCAGGTGATAAGCAGATGCAAGATCCTTGAACAATTTAAGCAAAGAGACTAAGGAATTATAGATTGAATTTAAGGTAGAAAACTGTAAAATAAGGTGCACTGGTAGAGGAAACATGAAACATGTGCAAGCAAATAACTGACAGGCGTTCACCCACAGAGTTGGGTAAAGAGTATGATTGATGGTGGTTTTATACACCTTTTAGTGAACATACTAGGATAGGAAACAGAAGTTTGGGTTAGTATTTTTAGGATCTCCATTGAAACCAGGCATTGTAAATGAGACCTAGAGAGCTAAGACTTTTATCTTGATATTCTTAAAAGGAGTAAGACATGAATCAGAGTATTGGAGAGCGGTCAGTCTAACATTGGTAATGGGGAAACGCTTGAAAGCATTTTAAAAGATATTATCGTTCTTCATCTAAAGAGTGCAGAGTCCATAAGGGACGGTCCGCATGGTTTCAGAAGCAATAAGCCATGCTTCATGAATCTACTAGAATTCTTGGAGGAGGTAACTAAATTAATGGATGAGGTAACTAACTTAATGAAGGAGGACTATATAGCAACTCAGATCCATTTGCATTTCCAGATGGCATTTGAAAAACATTTGAATTTAAGCCTTTTGAGAGAACTGAGGGTGCATTGGAACTATAGGTCCAGATTTAGACTTTAACGCAGATTTCAGAGCAGATTTTTAAATGCAGCCTATATATGGAGCTGGTTTTCTGAATATGTAACTGTTTTTCTGTAAGTTTTTTTAAGACTTACAGATAGAGTGAATCTAGGTGGAATTTCTCTGCAGTAATGAGTTGCTCAAATACAGTCACTATTCTTTATAGTAAATCCTGTAAAGTGATGATGGCATTTCAATGATTTGATAAGGTGCTATTTCAGTCGCAAGGATTATTATTACTATAATTTTCAAGTTACCTCATTTCACTATTAATAGGAACATGGGAAGGTTCTGACTGAATAAAGTCAGGGAATTTTTAGGAATTTAGGAATTTCTAAATGTGAAAGGGGTCTTTTCTCGAAGCTCATCAAATGAGGTCTTGATAGAATTAGAAAGTGACTCTTTCTACTGATCGTAAATCAGTAATAAGAGGATTGTAAACCTCAAAATAATCCATAAAAAAAGCACGGTAGGAAGAATATTGTTTTGAATGGGAATTGAAGGAAAAAAATTGAAAGATTCGGGGTAAGAGCAGAGCATTGAGATAAGAGCGGATAGCTCCAGTGGAGAAGTTAGCATTAACCTACACACAATGGGCTGATTGGCCTTCGTCTGTGTGCTCTTTTGTAAGCATTCTACAGTTTTGTTATTTCATGTCAGCCAAGGTTCAATCTTAGCCTTTTTATTATATCATAAATATTCCTCTCTATCTCTTCTGTCACTCCGAGTCATGCAAAACCTATTCTTCTTACAAATGTCAATGCATTCCTAGCATTGTGTTTTAAGACTTCCTCAGGTATATAACAAGGCTAGTTTGTAAATGATCTCTTTTCAGTTCATTGTAACATTTTGTAGTCTTATCTCTGACTTTGCTACTGGTCCTTGGTTCACTGGTTATTCTTCCTGTTTCATACAGTAGCAATCAGATTAGAATTATGATTTAATATGCTGTTTAGTTTTCTTAGTTCATGCACTGATGAATACTGATGCCAGAGACAGATAGTCAGTAGTGGAGATACAGATCACTTGCCTATAGCCGGAACATTCCTAGCAGTTCAATAGCTAGACAGATGTAAGAAACAGCTATAGTATCTGCAATGTAAAACATAAGATTGTATTAACAGACGCAATCTGAGATTGAAAGAACTGCAAATGGATATTAACGATTTTGCGATTGGCTTTGCAGTTTCAACGATGCATGAAACACCTCGCTTCACGCACTTGGACTGAGCTTAATCTCCATCATTTACAAGTAAAGACGGTTTGCACCAGAGTGAACAAAGTCTTTCAAGGCTGTGGTTAATGAAAGAGGCTTGTAATTACAATGTGTTTTAGTGCAAAATGCTTCCTTCCTCCACACAATGATAGTTTTTTTTAGATTTAAGTGGGTAAGTAACAACATACACCAACTTAAATATTGACCTTGACACAAAGTGTCAAAGTATTGGCTTATAACAAGTAACAACCAAATATTAATTAATAAGTAAATAGTAATGATCCTTACATTTGATGTTGTGCTTTTCATGTCGGGAGGACTGAAGGCACTTCACAGGATTCACTGTAAAGAGTAGTGACTGTATTTTGGAGACAAACACAGCAACCAATTTGCACACAGCAATGTCTCACAAACAACCATGAAGTAAATGAGCAATTTTATTTGGGTGGAAATGTTGGCCAGGACACGAGCAGAAACTCCTTTCTCTTCAAGTAGTGCCATTGGATCTTTAACATTCGTCTAATCAGGCAGACTTAGTTTAAAGACTTATTCAAAGGACAGCACCTTAGACAATGCAGTGCAACATAACAGTCTTGAGGCTAAGACTGTGAAATATTTTGGGGCTGAGATGTAATTCTGAAGACTATGTTCTGCAAATCTAGGACCTGAAATTTCTCAAGTACTTAGGCTTGAGACCATTGCCTTCAAATAGAAGACCATGGAATCTTGAACAGTATTGAATTTAGCCTCAATTCAGAAGCCGATTTTATACAGGGATTTTTCAGCACTGCGGAAAATTGTTTAAATTAAGCAAAATCCAAGGAGTGTTTTCCCCGAATTCTTGAACACTGTCAAATTTCAAGACCACTCTCTTGAAAAGACTATCAAGAGAAATTTCAAGGCCTGGACAATTCATATCACCTCCTTAATGTCGAAATTTCCCAGGAGAGAAAATCACAGGGGATCAATCATGTGTCTCAGCAATATGTGTGTTCTAGGATTTGATGAGGTGTTTAAAGGTGCTGGGATGTGCATTACCTTCAATATAAAGTATTCCCTCCACGTAGGCAATGAAATGACATTTAATAAAAACTCCTGCTTGTAGGAGATATTCATTGTTTAAATCGTTTTTTTGCTTCCCTCAACCTCCCAACACACGCCATGCGGTCGTAGTTACAGTTACCATAGACAGAGCAAATAAATCCTTATTTGTACGTAATTTTCCACTGTACAGTTAACTCTGTCATATGTTTCGATTCTGACCAAGGGAATATTCTTCCTAAGTAAATGATAAATGAGCTATTCATTCAACAGAAACGGCACTGTGCTGTTTAGTTTAGTTCATTAGGTCTGTAAGCTCAAGCTGTAAGTGTTTTTGCAGTTAGATTCAGTAAGCAGAAGACCTGGGTGTTTTGTACCCTTTTATTTTTTAAAGGGTTTGTTTGCCTCCGCCCGCCTATATTGCTATTAGAGGGGAAAGGAGGTACAGGATACAAAGGATTTTCCTACAATCTAAAAGGGGCTCATGATCCTCTGTCTATCACTTTATCCCTCATGCCAGTTTGCACGTCTCCGTTTCCCTGTATATTGGGTCAGGGCTCAGTTCTCATGGGTCACCGTGTCATGCAGAAGGTTCCCTGCAGGAGACGCACTGTTTTTTTCACTGCTATTTACGTTTTTCCCCCTGAGCGCTTGTTAATCCCCTCAGTCATAAGAAGGTCACCCACTTAACTTTGAAAAACTCGCCTCCATTCACTGAGGTGATGCGAGCGCAGTATCGTAAACTTTAATGACTTCCCAGGGGATGAAGGCAACTGTTCAGTTCTGATGTGTACACATTCCTATTGCAGGCAAAGATTAGACACCCCCTTGTGTCTCTTTGCCAAGCTGTTGTCTAACCTGTTAGGTACCATCAAATTGAACATTTTAATGTTATAAAAACAATTCAGTAAAGTTTGCGTTCATTTACTCGGATGACACTAGGGCTGAGTGGTTTGTACTGTGAGCAGAGACTGGAGAAAATGGGACTTTTTCCTTTGGAACAAAGAAGGTTGAGCAGTGACCTGATCGACATCTTTAAAATTGTAAGGAGTTTTGATATGTTCAACAGGAGAAATTATTTCAACTGCTCGGTGGAGTCAGTTTAAGATAGTTAGTAAACAAGAAAATGGGGAAGTTAGGAGAATTTATTTTCAAACACAGAGTGGTTAAGATATGGAATACCCTGCCGGGAGTTGTGGTTGAGGCAGAATCCATATTTGCTTTCCAAAAGAAATAGATAGATATCTAAAATGCATAGATAGATATCTGAACTACAGGGGTATGGGGAAGAGGTCAGGTAAAATGGGACTGAAAGGATTGCTCTTGAGGAAGCCGGCACTGACACGATGCGCTGAATGACCTTCTTCTGTGCTGTAGATTTCTATAGTTCTATTTCACTGCTCAATTTCAAATTAATAATCACGTCTTGAAATTGACTCTGCAAGATCTGCTCTGGTAACCTAGTTGGTTTGAGTCACACTGACTACTCAGCGCTTTGGGACGTCCTCCCGACGTGAAAGGCGCTATACAAATGTAATTTTGTTATTGTTGTTGCACTTGCCACCATGAAAGTTTCAACAATGTAGATGATGTTTCATGTTATGAAAATTCTTTAAAACCCTGAATCACATGATTTGCCAAAGGTCAGCAGAAGTTACCCTGAAATAACAATGCGTTCTCTTACCCCTCTTGGTCTAGACTCCAGGGAGACAATCTGATGGAAGAATCAGATGATGGAGCACTGGTGTCACATTCCCCCGAACAAACAGTGCCTGGACCACTTGGAGAGAGTGAGTAAAAACCTCTATGCATAAAAAAATGGCTTGCAGTAAAGTGAAAGGTGCATTTGTAGGGCTTCCGTTATTTTATTCACTCCTTCCCTCGTCTCGTTCAAGATCCCTCTCAAGACCTAGCTCTTTGACCACGCTTTTGATCATTCTTTCCCCTCCCTACATCTCTTGGCTCCCACCCCCCAGCTTGATGCCAAGCCAGTACTGTCAGCAGTACTCCAACTCCCTGCTTGTAGGCCTCCCCAACCGCTCATCAAGATCTTGGTCCTCACCTTCAAAGCTCTCCATGGCATTGCTCCCCACTACCTCTGCGGTCTCCTAACCCCCTACCAACCTGCCCGCTCCCTCCGCTCAGCGGGCTCCGGCCTGCTTCACATCCCCCGTCTCGCCCCCCTCACTATTGGCTGGCGGGCCTTTTGCTACTCTGCCCCCACCCTCTGGAACTCCATTCCGCAGTCCCTCTGCCTCGACCCCTCCCTTGCCTCCTTTAAAACGCATCTCAAGACCCTCCTCTTCAACCGTGCTTTTGGTCACCCTCCTTTCCCCCCAGCCTCCATCCTCCCCGATTCTGATCCCCTGCTCGGTCCGAAACGCTGATTGTCCAGCACTTTGGGACATCCGTCCGACATGAAAGGCGCTACACAAATGTAGTTCTGTTGTTGTTGTTGTTGTTGTTGTCAGGAAGCAGCCTAGTTCTGATGATTAGGATTATTACTAGTTTTATTAGTTAGTTGTATCAGCTGATTGTACTGTTTGTGCACAACTGGTTGGTCTGACTTGCTCTGAAACCATGCACAGACTTCCATGTATCTATCGAACTGCAAATGTGCAAGTGTGCTCTGATTTTTCAGAAGAAGCTTTCATGCACCCCAGTCACTTTAACAGAATGGTTAGGCCTATAGATATCTGTGCTCCCAATCACAGAGAACTGTGCTTTTCTGCAGGTTAAAAATAGGATGCTGGCTTAACTCGAGTGGTTCCCTGTGAAACAGTACTCAAACAGTGCCTCTGGGGATCACTAAAATGTATTCCTGGTTCCCTGCCACTAAGCTGGTATTAAGGATTGCCTCTGTCGTTCAGTTTCAACCTGCAATAAGGTGTGCCGCAGCCCAACATGACCCAGTAAGACCTGAGAAACTTGTGACTGTCTGGTTTAAATCATAAGGTGTGAACCTACCAAGGTTGCGTAATGAACATCTTATCTGGTGTCCCGTCTGTCAGTCTGCAACTAACCTCATACAGGCTCCTGCTACAGGAGCAAGATGTATGTAGAGTAGATGACTGTACAAAGGTCAAAATGATCCAAACAATTCTGAGCCAGAAGCAAGAACTTGTATTTATATCGCATCCCTGTTGTAGGATAACGTCTCAGAGCGCTTCATAATGACGGCATAAGAGAGAGGAGAGAAGGGGAGGGAGGAAAGGGAGGTGACCTTAGACATGATTGAAGAGGTAACTTTTGGGGCAGAATTTAAGACAGATAGAGAGTATTTAAAGAATAGATTTACTGTGAGATATTCCCGAGTACTTCCAGCAGAAGGATAGAAGTCTAACTGGGATCCAGACAGTTCAGACATAGGTTCATCAGGATTCACGTGAGAATGTTAAATCTTTCAGTCTAACTCAATATAGTCTAGAAATTCTATAGCAGTGTTTTATTGTTTAATTTTGTTTTTGTTGGATTAGAAAAGCACCAAAGATTAGACTGATATACAGCCAGCGGCAGTGACACAGTTCCATAAGGTTTGCATTATTATAACAATAATAATCCCTAATTTAGCTCCTTATCACGTCGGTGAAATGTCTCAAAGCACCCTCAAGCCTGCAAAATATTGGGGATTATTAAATGATTAGGATATTCTGTTGTAAACACTCATAATGGTAGGCTGTAGATCAATGTCATAATGTATAATATTTTTATTTCTAAACTATGACTTCCTTTATAAATGTTCATATATTTATTGTCATACGAGCTTCCCAGGTTCTGCTTATGTCTCTCTAACCCACACGCACTCTGATCTCATGAAGTGAATGAGATTAACCCAGAGGGCGTGTGGTGTGTTTGTACGTCTCTGAGTTTTCTCTCTCCCTGTAGGAGAGCATCTTGCGACTGACTGTTCAATGCCTCAAGACCATTCTACGTTACAATCTCGCTATATTAGATAGCTGGTAAAGAAATTAATTGAGGGATATTAGAGATGGAGCAGTAGGAGATTATAATCTTTGTATTTATACATTTGCTTTATCTTACTTTGGCACCATTGGTCCTATATACACCTACAACCACAACATATCACCCATTAGGAAGTTATCAGAACATCTGTATTTAGTGCCTTATCAACCCTCTAGTTCCTCACTCACCGAGCTGAAAATGCAGTATGTGACTTATCCCCAACAATAACACATAACTGAAAAGCGATACAAACCTGTATTTCATTAACAACAGCTTTGTGAGTGAACCATGCCCTCATCCTCCACACCAACCCTCAAAAGTGACTGAAAGCGCAGGCAAACAGATAGGTCTAAAGGTGGGTTTTGAAGGCTGAGACTCCAGGGTGGAGTTCTAAAGAGTGGGAACAGAGTGACTGAATATTTGTCCATTGAGGTTGGGAGGGACCTGGCAGGGGATGTGAAGCAGGCTGGTGTTTGCTGAGTGCAGGGTGCGGCTGGGACAGTAGGGTTATAGGAGGTTCACAGAGGTAGGGTGGAGCGAGGCCATGGAAGAATTTAAAAGCGAAGATGAGAATCTTGAATTTGATCCTTTGAAGGATGGGGAGCCAGCGAGGCTGGGGGGATGGGTAAGGAATCGGGTATGGGAGAGAAACACCGTCTCTGAAATCTTGCTATTGGATCAGTTGTCGGAAGAGTTCTTTACCTAGTATTGGATACTTCCTCCATATCATCCCACATCGGAATTGATTCCTTCTTGTAATTTGCAATTCAAATATCTTTGCGTAGGAAATTCTGTAATGATAAATCTTTAATGTCAAAACAAAACAAATAAAGTATCGGCTCAAACTGGTGCATTGAGGCTTACCTTTACTTAAATTGGAATGAAATGTTTTCTGATGCAAATTCCTGACTCGTATTTATTTAACCCCACATTTTTGACTTGAGTGTTTGAGATGAATTGTTACTTAAAGATGATGTGAGCGTCTAGAAATTAGTTTTGTTCTGTTTTGGAACAGCTCCATTGCCTGGGGTGGAAAGAGCGATGGAAGGAGACAAAGAATTTGAGACTGCTTCTCAAGTATCAGGCCCAGTAAGTAGATTGAATTACAGTCGACTTGTCCTGCCTATCGCGGTGAATGATCTGTCACGATAAACCTGCTTGTGAAATCCATTACGAGTCTTAAGTTTTCCTTGAATTGAGTTAGGTTTTATTGCAAGTAGTATACGAGCCTCAGGGAGGAAAAAAAAATCTATATGGATATTTTTGGATAAAATCAGCAAAAAAAATCTTTAAACCATTCAGTGGAAACATCACCCTTACAGGAAATTGATAACTATGTTCAGAAATGTTGAGAGGATTTTGCCAATCTATCATAGAAATCTGTCAACTTTCATTTCCACCAGTGGTTATCTGTTCGCTAACCTGACAATTTTTTCTAAGTAAGCATTATACTTTTACTTATTTACATGTGGCATGAGCAACAACTAGACAAGCGAAGGCTCTTTAGTCTTGAAAGGAGACATCTCAGAGGACCCTATATAAGTGTATACAATTTTTAATGGGACTGAAAAAGTAAACCCAGAACAATAATTTAGGATTCACCAAGTCAGTGGAACAAGAGGACACAGGTTTAGAGTTACAAAGATCAATTTCAGGACAGACACCAGGAGGGCAATTAATTACTTTTATTAATATCCTTTATGTTACCCACCCAACCTGTGGTCACTGATTCACCAGTGTTACCACCACATTTACTAGTTTGAGGTGTAGGACGCGGTGTTTGAGAATGACACGAAAAAGGACTTGCCTTTTTGTATCATTCAAATCCTGTTATGAGTAATCGCTGAGGAATACAGTGTCTGTTTTGGGGAGTAAATGCAGCAACATTGTCCCACAAACGCCCAATTATTAATTAACCTGAATGATTGTTGGCCAGGGTATAGGGAAACATCTCTCTTCTCTTTGCAATTGGTGTTTTGGGATCTAAAAGCCACCTGAAAAGTTGACAGATGAGTTAAAGTCTCCTTCATCTGAAAGTGCAACATTCTTCCAGGACTGCACTGAACTGTCAGCCTGCACTATGATCTCCAGGCCTGACATGGGGTTGAATTTATAACCTTCTAACATAAAGGTGAGAATATTACCGAATTGAGCCAGGCTGACAAAGAGGTTCTGTGGAGTCTATTCCGGTTCTTTGCTGGTCACACTAATTAGTTGCTGAGTTCAGGTGAGCAATCTTGAAACTGCTTCCGCTGCAGAGTGCAGCCCTGTTGTAAACTTTGAGCAGTGTACTTCAGGTTACACAAGACGATACGTGTGCAGGATACAGATTTAAAGACAATAAGCACCATTCAAAGAGAAATGGATCAATTAACCAGATGCCTGAGGAGTGGCAGATGGATTTTAATGGAGATAAATGCAGGGTAATAAATACTGGGACAGGAAACAGCAAGCACATTAAAACAGTGCACGTTAGCAGAGAAGGAAAAGGATTTAGCAGAAATTATTAAACATTCACTGCAGGTTTTCAGGTAGTGGAATCTAAAAAGGGCTCCTGCAGCAAAAGTGCTGTGCAGCCAGTGGAGAAAGCTGCTGTGATGTATGACAGTATTTACAAGATTAGAAGATTAATTTGGATGAAGAAGGTCCTTTGGCCCATTTGATCTCATCTTTCCAGAACAGCTACCCTCCCATCCTTCCAGGCTGTTTCTAAAATGAGTCCAGTGTCCTGACCTCAACCACCATTCCAGGCAACCTGTTACAGCAGTTCATTACTCTCTAAGTAAAGAAATATAAATACAAGAAATGCAAAAAGGGATGTTTTGCAACTTATTAGATCTAAGCATATCTTTTAATCACAATCTTTTAATGCCTCACCCTTTTTCCAGGCCCCTTAAAACATCTACCACCCAGGTATCTGTCCATCTCTGTTTTAAACATCTCGATTGATTCTGTCTCTCTAACTTTTAGGTACAGAGGATTTCATATCTTTGTGTTTCGCCCACAAGATACAGTCGATCCAGTTTGCAATATATTCTGTGAAGCACTTTGAGACGTCTTAATGACGTAATAAGGCACTTTATCGAATGCAAGAATTATTATTCTATTCCCAGCCCTCGGTGTGAAGAAATGCTTCCTGATGGCAGTTCACGTGTCTTGGTTCTGATTTCCTCTTGTAATTAATGCCTCTCGTGGCTGCCATAACATTTCAGTCTATTAGGAATGTTCCTGTATCAGAAATGTTACCGATTGCTATAAAGAAGAAAGCAGTCATTTCAAAATCAGCTACAAGTAGACAGACATGCGATAAGAACCTTTTAACTCTGTGAGTAGTCATTTTCAGGTCAGAATCTTTGCTTCAGCGTATTTCAGGAGATCACAATCCCGAGCCTGACTGTTTCCTGTAACTGATCTGGAATGAACACTTTTGAAAGCCCACCTTGAAATCGGAATCAGTTTTGTTCACTGACATGTTGTGCTTGGAGGCAGCAGTTTTCATTAATCTGTGAGATGTTCAGTCTGACTGCTTTGTGCAGACTCAACCCTTGAAAATGTCATTTGTTTCAAGAACAAATTAGATCGATTTCTGCTAGAAAATAATATCTCAGGATACAGTATATAGTTTGGGACACAACATAATAATAATAATAATCCTTGCATTTGATATAGCGCTTTTCACGTCTTCTAGATGTCTCAAAGCGCTTCACAGAATATGCTGTAAAATGAATTGACCGTATGTTTGTGGACGACACACGGCAGCCAATTGCGCACAGAGGTGTCTCACAAATAGTCGTGGATTGAAAATGACCAATTTATTCTTGTTTTTTTTTGGAGTGATTATTATTAGGCGTGTGGAGTAAGGAAACTTGCCCAAAGTTTCGCCCTCTGCCTGGAATTGAACCCAGGTGTCTCGCTTGCGAGCGAGTGCTCTAACCACTGAGCTACAGGACTCCACGAGTGACTGTCAAGTGGAAGGCGAACTAGATGGACATTGGTCTTCTTTCAGCAAATTCTTATATTCTTATGTTCTTGAAGAAGAGTGTTCAGAATTCCACTATAAGCAGAACTCAACTTAACCAAAAGGAGAAAGTGAGAAATTGCATTTTGTAGTGTAAAATCTAAATGTACAGGGTGTTCACAAAGCCCTGTTAACCCTATTTTTTGTTACACAGTGCACTAACCAACAACTGAAACATGTGAAAGAATGACAATAATTGTATTTAGAAGTACATAGTTCTCTTCAGTATAAGTGTTTAATTCTACTTAGACGTCCAGAGGATTGGTGTGAGTACCATCATTTTCATGGCAGATAATGATTCATCGCCATGTTTGGTGCAACATCTTTCGTAAGATGGATGGAGTGAGGAGGAAGTTATTGGTATCAGACATTGCTATGGTCGACTCATCTATAACAGAAAATAAACATTCATTGTAAGAAGAAAAACGCGGAGGCTGGAGGTGGGGTTAACAGGACTTTGTGAACACCATTAGAAAATGGAAACTTCCCATTGCTAAATATAAGACATGTTTTAAACTAACCTTTTGGAAAGCACGAAAAACTGGCACTAGATATTGCCCTAGCTCAAATTGAGTTAGGCAGTATGCCTGAATATGCTCAGGGCTTTTCAGTGGGGTTTAGGCTATCATTATTTGGAAGTTAAGAAATGTAGGTAATTCAAACATATCTTAATAATGTTGTTTAAACAAGGTAAGGGATAAATTTAGAAACATCGCAAATTTCACCTCATTAGGCAATAGTAGGAGGATATATGACCTTTGAGACAAAACTTGGTGCTTGCTCCTCTTCTGACACTACTTCCTCTCGGTTCCTTGTTCTTTCCCTTTATATTGTTCCGTAATAAAGGTTTCTCCAATTCCCGTTTAAATATTGGCTTCAACCTCAGTAGCCACTTGTGAACAAAATTTCTGGGTTCAAATAGAATTAGAAGTTTTCCAGTACTTTTACGGATTTTTTACACCTCCATTCGGAACTGTGAACATTTTGACTCTTGTTTAACACAGTGCCCTCAATCAGACACTGTTGCTAAATTGCAGTTGTTTGTGTTTTCTCTGTTTGTGTCCTTGCAGCTCCAGCCAGCCTGGGAGTCCATTGTACTGTCTGCTCGAAGTGGAGACTCTTTGAACCAGAAGCAACCAAAGGAATCCTTGGCCTTGAAGAAACTGTTAGCTGTGGAGAAGCATCTCCTGGGTAAGTCAGAGTGTTCCAGGGTGTCTATGTCAGCCTGGCTCTGTTGGTAGTACTCTCACCTCTGAGTTTGAAGGTTGTAGATTTAAGCCCCACGTCGGGGATTCTGAACTCACCTGGTCTAGGTTTACACTCCAATGCCTGATGGCCATACTGCAACCACATTAGAACAATTTATTGCTCATCACTAGATGCCCTGAGAAGCTGATGATGGATCTTCTCTTTTTTCAAATCCTTCAAATCCTCATGGGGATGGTCTTTCCATGATGGTGTTAAGTATATGTTGCAAATAGAGCCTTTGTCTGTATCAGAGGGATAGAGTACAAAAGTGGGGAAGATATGTTAAATTCATATACAACCTTGGTGAGACCATATTTGGAGCACTAAGTACAACGTGCAATTCTGGTGGCTATACTACGTGAATATTGTTGTATTGGAGAGAGTACAGTGGAGATTTACAAGGATGTTACCAAAGATGGGTGAATATAGCTATCAAGAATGATTGGACAGATTGAGCTTTTCTCTCTAGAGTTGAGATGATTGAGAGGGGATCTGATAGAGGTGTTTAAGATTATGAAAGGATATAATAGAGTGGCCTTTAATGGGTTGTTTCCACATTTAGGTGAGTCCAACATGATGGGGCATAAATATAAGATAGCAGCTAGCAGAGCTAAAAGGGAATTTAGGAGGAACTTTTTCACTCAGAGGGTGGTGAGAATGTAGAACTTAATTGCCAGAAACTGTGGTAGAAGCAAAACGCATTGATGTGTTTCAGAAGAAACATGATGCATACATGAGGGAGAAGGAAATAGAAGGGGAGGGAGAGGAGATTTGGATACACTTACGCGTGGTGATGGGGTTTCCCGTGTATCAGGCACCTAACTGTCTGCCCAAAACAAATCACCAGTAACAAAATGTGATATATAACCAGCAGGAACGCTGAGAGCCATTGCTGCTGTACTCTGGTACTTGTGCTGACTGTGCTATCCCCCATATTCGTTGGAGAAAAGTTAACCAAAGCACCTGAATTAGAAGGAAAATAATACACTGTAGTTTGGCAGAGCTTGACTCCTCACAAGTCAAGGATGAAATGATCCGCGCCACCTTTCAAAAATGCATAGGATGGAAAATTTGCAAGAACTCCCAGACTTCCGTTACACATGAAAGTGCATTCCTCATTTGGTCTGAATTATTAAGAGGCTTGAATCGCGTGCAATCGGGATCCTATTTTTGCCATGCTATAAATGGAGACATTTCATCTATTTCTTTCCTAAAAGCAGCCTTCAGCTAAATGACTGGATTTGGAGCCTGCTTGTGATCAATCGAGCAAAACAAATAGGAACCAAAATAAAATGTTCAGTCTTTACTTGGTTTGCCCTGGATTCAATAGAAATCTGCCTGTTCAGGTGGACGCTAAAGTTCCCATGGCACTAGTCGAAAAGGGAAGGGAATTTCTCCCATTGTTCTGGCTGACAATCCCTGACATAAAATTGGCCACTCACTTCATGGCTGTTTGTGGGACACTGGTGTGTACAAATTTGAACACCCTTTTCTTTTAAAATAGTGCCATGGCATTTTTAACATCCATCTGAAAAGGCAGGCGGGTGCTCGGTTTAATATCTCATCAGAAGGATGACACTCCTGAGAAGACAGACAACCCCAGCAACACACTGGAATGTAAACCCACAAACTTTTGACTTAGGAGTGATACTATTTTCAATGGAGGCAGCATACCTTTGCTGTGTGAATCCTTCAAAATAATGAACAATTCATTCATATTAACCTGGACCCATAGAATTTTACTAAATGATTTATTTGTTGGCTCAAACATTTTTGGCTGACACTGATCACATCATTTATCTCATTAAAATTTACAGCCCAGAAGGAGGCCATTAGACACATTGAGTTTGCACCAGCTCTCAGAGCAAGGTGATTATTCCATCTCGTTGTCCTGCCCAGTACCTATAATCCTTCAAGCCTCTATCTTTCAATATCTGTCTGTATTCATCTTGAAACACAACACCCTCTGCCTTTGCCATCTTGCTGGGCACATCTTCTTCAAACCCAATAAAATGACTTGCCAATCCCTTCAGCAGAAGGACTGTACACCTTTAAGCCAGTTGTTATACAAAATTGTTGAAGGAACAGATGTGGAAAGTGCAATAGCTACCCACCCATTGCTATGGTGTCCTTCACGGGGATGAGGGTCAGTAATCAGACGTGAACAAGGTTTAGATTTACACTCACTCTCTGCTAAGAGGTTAGGTTTGCTTTAACCTCGTGGGACTGAGTACAACAGGCATGATTCTCTGAAAGTGAGTCAATTTATAGACCTTGGCAAATGGTGAGTTTTTTCTCGCCGTGGCCCATACGTTTCTGGGTGAATATACGATGGGGAAAATTCCATAATAAATTTGCACCGCTTGTTCAAGCAAAATTACTGATCTCCATGGAAATCACCTGTTATATCCTTGTTGCACTCCACTCCATTTGGTGAAATAACCCACTTTTATAGCAGTGTCAATTTCGTTAAAGGGTCTAAGGTATACTAAAGCTAAAAGTGACCAGTATTCTGCTTATCCTTTATAACAGGAACTCCCTTCATAAAGATTTAACACACAAATCGCTATTTTTAGTGATCAGAGCACATGAGACACCCATAGCCCTGAATTTCCACCAAGTCTTAGCCTGTAATCCAGTTTTGTCCATAAAAATAAGGAGGTGCAGAATTGTTGAAAATTCTTCATTTCAGCCCTAGTTTAGAAGCCTTTTTCTTAAGAAATGTGGAAAACTGGCTTTGAAATGAAGACTGAATTTAAGAATTTTCCACAACTGGAAAATTGCATCAATTCCAAATTTTAAGACAAAATAGTTTGAGGAATATGTTAGTTTGAGATTGAATTTTGGGCCTCACTACATCTGAGCTGTGTTTTCTTCTCTCAATTGGTGGAGTGTCCTGCCCACACTCACTATCCAGGCTCACACATAATAATAATAATGATACTTGCATTTGATATAGCACCTTATCATGTCTTCGAGACGTCTCAAAGCACTTTACAGAATATACTGTAACATGAATTGACTGTATATTTTGTGGGCAAACCATGGCAGCCAATTGCATATAGCAGTGTCCCACAAACAATCTTGGATGAAGTGAGCAATTTATAGTTTTTTAAAAGAATTATTACACCCGGAAAAGTGATCCGTCAATTAACTAACAACCGGGTTCCTACTTACTGCTAGGTAAGCAGAGACGTGTGGAGTAAGGAAACTTGCAACCTAGCCACTGAGCTATCCAAACCTGTTGATTCTAGTGTGATTCTTGTTGGATGCTAGTGTTGAGTGCTACAGCACATGCTTCTGTTACAGAACTTGAGAAGGACCACGTGATGAACGCACTTACAGTCGAGAACGAGATGCAAAGGAGTCCCAACAGCCAAAGCAGATTGAACCCATCGATTCACCTCAGAAGCTTACTGGGACAAAATTCTAGGCCTCGGACACCAGTGAGTCTACTTGGGAAAGAATCTCTACTGCTGAGCCCAGGAAGCAAATTACCACCAAGCCCCACCAACCAAGGCAGTAGACCAGAAACTCCCAACAGCTGGTCTCGAACGTCAGCCCTTCAAGGAAGCAGGCCCACAACCCCAAACAGTCCGTTATTTCAAACTCCAACTTCCAACAACCCTGGGAGCAAAGAAGAAACCTTTGTTAATCCAAAGAACAAGCCAGTAAAACCCAGCAATCAAGGCGGGAGACCCCTAAGTGACTCGTCCATCCAGCCTGGGCAAGTCGCTGGAGTAAACATCGAGAACCTGACTCAAAGGAACTATTTGTCTGAGGTGAGAATTTATAAATTCATATGAAGACAACTGATAACAACAACGGCAACTTGCATTTATATAGTACCCTTCATGCGGGGCAGAGTCTCGGAGCTCTTAAAATGAGGGAGTAGAAGAACAAAGAGGGAAAAGAACCATGAAGCGCTTTGAGAGGTCCTCCTAAATTGAAAGGCAATATATAAATGCAAATTGTATTCTGTTGTATATCCTTCAGAGTCTTTATACAGTGCAAGAGATGTTCATTTAGTCCCACAGCTTTAAACTTAAGCAACAAATCTTCAGAGGGTTGCTCAGAAAGATTACAAAGACCTGCCAAATCCTTCCACTGTGGTGGCTACAAGATCGATTGCGTCCTAAAGTCAGGAACAGGTTTTAATAAGAAACGAGCATTGAACCTGAAGGCTGAAAAAGTTTGCATTGATTTTAAATCAGGCTGATAAATAGCACAGGCTGACTTTTTGCTGGTGAATAGAACTATTCATTTATTAGGTAGAAGATCTAAGAGGATCTGCACTATATCTGATGGGTTTCTGTGGGAAAATAATTTTCCATTCACAGTCTGGTGAAAACAGGAAGTGTAATTACTAGATCCCTCCGAGTTTTCATAAGCGCCTCCAATCCCTTAAACTAATATATTGTTTAGACTAGGAGTGTGATTCATTTTGTTGCTATGGGCAGTTGTTTTACTTCTGTAAGTTCTAAACTGTTGCTGGAGTTTCTGACCTCAGCAGAGACGGGTGACCTTCTCACAAGGCATTCCATGTGGCACCAGCTTCAGGTTTTTTTCCCTGTAAAAACAGAAACATGTGTATCGATTGGCGTGGAGAAACGTATTCAGATGTGTTATCTTCTCGCCAACGTCTGAGCACCACTGGAGTATGTTTTTAATTACACGCAGCATGGCGATTAACCTTAACTCTTCGGGAACCGAGGCCCAAAAGTCCACCTACTCTTCAATTCTCAGCCTACCCTGTAGCACCGTTTTGTCATAAAATTTCAGATTAAAATTAAGATTTCTGAAAAATTCTTAGACTCATTCTTCTGCTGGAAAGCCTATTCATGGTCCATGAGCATCCATTGGAGCTGAATTTCCATGGGCTGCTGTAACGTGCATAGATATATGATCAAAGCCAATGTTTACTCTTTGAAGTACTTCATCTCACGGTGAGGTGCTCGTAACACTTTTCCAAGGAGCATTTATATAATAAGGATCCTTGCATTTGATGTTGAGCCTTTCACATTGGGAGGACATCTCTAAGCCCTTCACAGGATTTATTGTGAATTTTAATATTTTGCAGGCAACTGCAGTTGCTAATTCGCACACAGCAATTCGTACAAACAGCCATGAACTGAAAGGCCAATTTTTATCTAGGGGATTGTTGGCCAGGACACTGGAAGAATTTCCTTTCTTTTTAAAGTTCACCTGAACAGCCAGACAGGACCTCAGTTGAATATCTCATTCAAAGAACAGAACGTCTAGTAACAGAGTACTTCCCAATAGCACTGCACTAAAGTCTCAGAGTAGACCATGTGAGTTATCAGCGAATAGGATCAATAGGATTCAAGAATCAATCTACTTAAGCAAAATAATTGTAGACATTCGCTTACAAAATACACAGTCACTACACTTTACAGTAAATCCTTTGAAGAGCTTTGAGACATCCTCCCAACATGAAAAGCACTACATCGAATGCAAGGATTATCCCGTCTCTGTAGCTCTATAAGTGCACCTTTTATTTTACCAGTCTTTTTTTACACATAGACACAAAACCATCCTCTGTATATCGGCGGCAGTCAAAATAGCCAGTACAATCTGTCTGTGAAAATCTCTTTACACTTCAAGGTTATAAACACAGATAGTTGTAACTTATCAAAGGCACTACACATTCTTTTTATTTATTTTGCACTGTTCAGCAACTTTAATTGTTAGAATATTGATGTGCAACTCAGTGAGTGATGTGAATGCTAATGGGTCTAAAATATATTTTGATGATTTTTTTTCTCTTTCACCCCACACCCCAGGATGAATCTTTTCAACAGCTTCAGGTTACTCGACAGCCTTGGATGCTGCCAAGTGACACGGATAGTGAAGGTAAAGATGTTGACCAAGACAAACGATTGATCTCTGTGAGCTGGTAGGATAGAGTGTGTAAAAGCCAAAGCGCAACTTCATTCCTGGTGAACCTGCAGCTGTGTAGATCCCAGCATTTCAGTGATGGTTCAGGGGATTTAAAAGTCAAGTTAAGCCGTTAATTCTAGTAAGTTCAGTGCTGCAGTGAGCAGCTTTTGAACCAAGTTGGGGGCACAGGCGTGCAGTTTGTACCCACGGCAATCATTGATTAGAACAAAATGGAGCAATAATCACAAACCACATTTCTCACCAGGCTGGGGCCAGTGCTGTAGAAGTCCAGTGTACTAAACAGACCCATCGGGGGCATCCTTGGGGTCTGGAGGGAACATTAAGCGGAGTTGGCGTCTGACCAAACAGGCCATGGTAGAGATCCATCTACATAAAGAGTGGAAGAGCTGGCAGGGGATGTTGAACAGATTGAAGGTCATAATGATCCAGTCTGCTGGAATGGAAGGATATTCCACACCGCCTGGTCTTGCTGGGCAGCAGATGTGGACTTTATTATTGCTTTTTTTTATTACTGCTGAATTCCTAAAAGCTCCACTGCAGGAGGGGTTGTTGATGGGTTGATGGGCACTCTGGCCGTTTTTGTCTCCCTTCAATGGTGGCAGACTCCCAATCCAAGTTAAGCTTGTGGCATGTAAGATGCATGTCTAAACAGTTCTCCTTTGTGGTTCTGGGCTTGCAACAGAAGGGTTTCTTTCAGCCCATTTGTAAGGTTTCAGCCCAGGACCAGCAGTGAGGTGGATTTTGGTAAAAAGGGATTGCAGGGACAGGGAGAGAGCCCTGTCCTATAGTAACTGTTGCTCAGCACTCTGGAGGCAGAGTTGGCTTCACAGTGATAATGTATCTGGGATATTTCTATGTGTAGGTGGCACACAACTACGTGGAACTCTTAGCCTGGTTTTGCTACTTTTAAGCATGGTGATAGGTTTCCACTTGTGACAGACACCCGGCTGACCCCATTATCTCCAAAGATTAGATTGGTGAGGGTGATATCACGAGTAACATCTAACAGGAAATGAAATAGGCTGGTGAGAGTTTCTTCTTGTTTGGTTTAGTCTCGATCAGTCGCCTCAGGATATCCAGGATTGTTTCACCAAGTGAAAGATCGAATTGAGTAAATCACTCTATTCACAAGTTTGACTATTCACCTCTTCACTATGAGACCCTGAGGTGTTTTGAAATTCAGTCAGCGACTGCAGCTGAAGACATCTTACTGCCTCTGGCATGTACAGTACGTGCAATAATTTCTATTGTGGACGATGGAAAGAGATATTAAGTACTCCCGCCTTTCCTGGCCTTGCCTGGTGATGCCAGACATCACCTTAGGCTGAAATAGTTAGCTACTCTGAAGCTATTTTAGGATATGGGCATGAATCACCCATGGATCCCTCCCTGTCCACATTTGGAACTCTCTCCCCAAATCCTTTTGCCTTGCTCCCTTTGTTAGATCATGACTGAAGACCGCCCTCTTCGACCATGCTTATGGTCACCTCCTACCTCCAGTTCAGCTTCAGGCTCCGTCACTGTTAAGCGCTCTGAGACACTGGCCCGCATGAAGGGCGCTATATAAATACAAGTTGTTTTTGTTTCCATTCTTTCCGTTGCAAAAATGCTTTACTTCCGCTGAGCCTCTCCTCAAAGAGGTATGGTTCAGATCAGTGATGGAACAGCGCAGGAAACACAGTATGAATTACTGTCCCAGTATTCCATTGTGCAACATGTGGGATGGTGCTCCACTACATTGCAGGAACAATAACAACCTGCATTTATATAGCATGCTTCATGTAGAGTATTACCTTGGAAAGCTTAATAAGGACACTGTCGGATGCCCAGAAAGGGAGGAAGGCCGAGGTGTCCATAAGCGCAGTTGAAAAGGTCCATTTGTTACGTAGGATTTAAACAAGATAGGTTTCTAATTGACATAGAAACAGGAGTAGGCCATTCAGCCCACTATACTTAATAATAATAATAATAATAATAATAATAATAATAGTCCTTGCATTTGATATAGCGCTTTTCACATCTTCTAGACGTCTCAAAGAGCTTCACAGAATATACTGTAAAGTGAATTGACTGTATATTTGTGGGTGGACTTTGCGCACAGCAATGTCCCACAAACAGTCGTAGATTGAATTTATTACTGTTTCGTTTTTTGGAGGGATTACTATTAGGTGTGTGGAGTAAGGAAACTTGCCCAAGGTTTCGCCCTGCCTGGAATTGAACTCAGGTCTCTCGCTTGCAAAGCGAGTGCTCTAACCACTGAACTACAGGACTTCACTTGGACTGCCATTAGATCATGGCAGGTATAATCCCATCTCCCCATCCTTTTCTCTACATTCCTTGATTATTCTTACTTTCAAATTAGCTGCTTATCTCCCTGTTTAACATCCCAATCAATTCTGTATCTACCATCTTCTGAGACAGTGCATTCCACATTCTCACAACTCTTTGTGTCAAGAAATGTCTTCTGGTTTCACTTCTAAGTTAACTCTAACTTGAAGACCACGCCCCCTTGCTTTGCATCCCTCACATATGTGAGTGGACAATTTTCATTCAAATCATTCCTTAACCTTCCCAGCAGGAAGGAAGATAACCCAAATTTATCCAGCCTGTCATCCCATCAAAGTAATCCCTGTTCATCCCAGGTATCAATCTGGTGAATTAGAAAGGAATGCCTTTTAAGGCCAGTATCTCTTGGACAATGAAATATCAAACAGGCATTTCATAGCTGAAATCAGATTTGCAGTATCAGAACTTTGAGAATCAGTTCTCTGATGGTCACCTCAACTAAGGAATCCAAAAAACAAAACAGTAATAAATTGGTCATTTTCAATCTACGACTGTTTGTGGGACATTGCTGTGCGCAATTGGCTGCCGCGTTCGCCCACAAATATACAGTCAATTCACTTTACAGTGTGTTCCGTGAAGCGCTTTGGGACGTCCTCCCGATGTGAAAAGCGCTATATCAAATGCAAGTATTATTATTATTAATGTTGAATCCAAGCACCTCCATTATTTATCCACTAGGGGGTATGCCCGAGGGGTAGTCAATGTAACCCTTCCCCCATCCCCATCCCAGGCCACTGTTGCACTCAGCTGGCCCATCTGAAACTGATGAAATCCAACCTCTGGAGCAACCCTATTAGATGTGTATTTCAAACTTATTTTATGTCTTTTTTAAAAAAAAAGTTGGGTTCTTCAAGCACAAGTGTTACAGAACTTCTGTTGCTCTGAGAAAGTGCTGGTGACTTTCAGAACGCAAAATTAATAGTTTCACTGATGTTGCATGAATATTGTGAACCATTTGAAAGAAGTATTTGGTTTAAAACTAATTGGTAAGAAACTTGATATTGGCTTGTGTGTAGGCATGCTGTCCAGGGCATGTTATGTATACTGTTTGCAACAGAGTTAAGATGAGAAGATGTGGTGTGCAAATACAAATTTAGCCATATCTTCTGAGCTGGACAACAGATATATGATACCTCAAATAGTTTGCTGGCTGAGTAATTCTTTGTTATCTCCAGGGATATCACGTAATTGATAAAAGCTTTCTTAAATAAGTAACATTGGCAAGAAATTGTTAAAGATTGAACATTCGCTGTACAGAATGCCAATTTTAATACAGCATTTGCAAGATTTTTAAAGATAGATGGGAAATGTATATTTTGCAGATAATTTTAACACTCGAGCTGTACTGAAATTGTAAATTCAGATCTCTGTTTTTTCAAAAATTGTTTTTTCAGTGATGTCCTTTTGTATGTTAGTCTGGTTCAGTTGGTAGCACTCCTCCTCTGAGTTAAAAGGTTGCAAGTTCAAGCCACACATTGGGATTATAAACTCGATCTTGGTTGACACTCCAGTGCAGTCCTGGGGGTATACTGCATTGTTGGAGCTGCCATCCTTTGGAAGAGATGTTAAACCAAGGTTTCATCTGTCTGTTCAGGTGGACATTAAAGATCCCATGGCAATACTTGAAAAGAGACAGGAGATTTTCCTGGTTTCAGGCCAACAGATAAAATTGGTAATTTACTTTATGGCTGGTTGTGGGATATTGCGGTGTGCAAATTGGCTGCTGCTTTCACCTACAAAATACACGGTCATTCACTTTACAGTAAAAATTCTGGGAAGTACTTTGAGATGCCCCAGTGACATGAAAGACACTATTATCAAATTCAAGTATTATTATAATTAATCTAATAAAAAGACGACTGAGAGCAACAATTTAATTAACATGATTTTCCTGGTACTTGGCATATTGGAGGATGGGGGGGGAGGGAATCTTTTTCTACAAATGCAGTCATTAAACTTAGTAATAGTTACATATGAAGGGTTTTGAGATGTTTCAACCTTACAGGTGTTAAAAAATCAAACAGGGTTCTGATATTTATAGACCTGAATAACAACATTATAATGAGGACCTGCTCCCTTTTTTGTTTTAACGGAAGCTGTTTTTAGTTACTCGGGCAAGGACCAAACATTCAATGGTTAATGTTTGCGTGATCTGCACTTTAATATCTTACATCTTACATTTGCCTACAAATACACAGTCGTTGCACTTTACAGTAAATCCTGTGAAGTGCTTTGAGAGATGTTCCTGATGTTAAAGGCGTTGGATCAAATACGAGGATTATTACATTTTTATTATCTATTATGGTAAGAGGCAGAAATTGTGTAATATTATAATTGGGATCTTGCTCAATATATGAGCGTGTATTTCTGCATAGTCACTCTGTCATTAGAACATTTTACACCTGGATCATGTTTCCAAGTGAGTGAAACAGTTAGGTAAGAGATACCTTGTCACTCTTCGATGTGCTGTGTTTCACCATCCTCTCCGAGTACTGAATTTCACACCTAATTGTCCCATCTTTCAGCAGCTACAATTACTGCAATATCTACAGTCATTCGGTATTGTCGGAGCCCATGTCTCAAGCTGAACACTTCTGACTAGAGAC